TACATACAACAACTGTGCGCTGCTATTGCCTTCGAATTTCAAAACGGAACTTTAAACTTCAAAAAGCGAACGACTCAATAAGATTTTCAAGGAGAAATCAAAATTGAAACAAACTGCAAGTTTGAGTTGCTGATGTTTATCGCATGACAGTGATAAACGTCCAAAAGTACTCAACCGGTTACAGTGGAAAATTCCATGAAATGATATATTTGTCACAACATCTTTCTTGCGATCCATTCAGCAACGTTCTCGTCACATTAACACGGCGCAAAATTCAATCATTTATCTTGTCCTTCTTCTTGATAAGGTTTTACGCTTAATAAGGACAAGGGGACAAGGATGGCAAATCGAATTATGTCTCGCATTTTGTGAAGATTCTTTGCGAGTTCATTGATTGAATCATCAAATTTCATTGGTAATCAGTGAAATTACCTTTGCAGGAACGTAGCGCACTTGTTGTTCAATAACAGATCGACGATGAAGCCCTATCAATAGGTTTCGATCGATCGTAAATCGTATTCAATATTCTAATCATAATCAAGCGTTTTACAATTCGACATTAGTCTCGAAATATATGAAAGAGAGAATTATGCAGGAGTTCAAAGCAAAAGATGCTGCTTGCTCTAAGCTCAAGAGACCTTTGAGGTGTTCTGCTCATGCTGAGCAATTTTTGGCCTGCTCAACCGACATAATTATTAGTTTACTAGCACAAGTCCATAATTTATCAATAAACGACAATCATCTTAGTGGATTTTGCGAAGAAAGAGAAACGAACATCATCGACGATGAATGCGAGTTACCTTTCAGGTGAATTGCTCCAGACAAAAACGAAATTCGATGAGAAGTGTTGTGCGTTATCGATTTATTTATCAATGAAAGCATCAAATTTTGGTTGGTTGCGTCATTCATCTTCACTCTTCTCTCTAATACTTTTCATTCGAAGGATACCCGCCATTCTTTAAAAGTTAAAATTACTTTCACGCTCGGTTCTGATTGCATTTTCAACCCAAAAAAAATTCTTCGAAAGCTTCAAATAGGCCTGCATATGCGTTACATTATACAAATTTTCCGTAATTACTTCAAGAATTTGAGATGGAAATTGTGCGACAAAATTAATCGATGACATTAATCTGAGAAATATCAACCAACCTAATGATTATTCATTCCAGTCAAATAATTAATCACTATCCAATAGCACAAAGTTATTAGTTACAGTTCAAGGCAATATGTGTTGTAAACCCATTCATTTTAACATGCTACACAAGGTGTTTGCAATGACGAGAAAGAAACGATTTATGAAATTATGTTTAGAAAATGAATCTTCAAGAAAATATCGCTGAAAGAAAGCATAAGATATGAGATGAAATGGGATGGAAGGATTATTCAATTGCATAGTGGTCAGGTTCGTGAGTGAATTCATTTTATAAAGAAGGCACTTAACTTGTTATTATGTAATCGTTTGATCGCTCTCAATTGGTTTCGATTATTCTAACAGCTCGACGAGTTCAGTGCGCTTATTTTAAGAAGCGAACTTCAAAATTTTCGAAGGAAAAAGGCTCAAAGCAATACCCAATTAGGTTGACTTCGGTAAGGGCACAATCTCGGACAATGGGCCAATATCCATTTATCTTTTCACAATTTGGTCTGTGATTCAATTTTGAATGAAAGCGTATTTTGTTGAGCTAATGAATTTCAATAGAATATGGAATGTATCACAAAAAACAGTTGTAAGGGATAAGAAAATTGAAGAGAGACTAAACGAGGAGCACGCGAGTGGTGTAAGCTTAATGATTACATCAATCTTTTTGAAGCAGTCACTTTAAGTATATCGTCGGCCCACAAGAAAGAGAATTTTTTGATGGCGACGATGCAGTAATCAGTGCTATGTCCGATATAAGATGCAATCCTTCGTTGCTGCTGCTTCAGTTCATAAAGAAATAAAATTCATTTTTTTTTAGTTTCTAGTCCTTTCAAGTCGAATACAAGATGAGACTATAAGTAAATGAGTTATGGGTGAACGTTTGGGGACGATGAAAGGTGATGAAAAAAAATTAATTACGGTTCAATCAGTGTGGTCAACAATGCGATGATAATGGCGCAACTTTGAAGATTTATTCACCTCATTCTTATCGCATAGACAAATCGAATTGGACATGAAAGCAATTCGATTACACTCGGAATGTGACTGATTGTAAGTACGGATTCCAGAATTTAATTCTTTTCAAGAGAACAGAAGGCGCTTTCAAGGCGAAATTTGTATCGTCGGAGTTCCAGTGGATGTGAGAAAAAATATCAATCTGAAGATGCTTCACATTCAAGAAGCAATTCAAATGAGAATCGAGAAAAACGTAAATTTGATTCAGTTTTAAAACATAAAGATTTATAGCAGAACTGAAATCGTAATACTTGAATATTCATAGGAATGATCAATCAAGAGTCTTGTGGCAGGAAATTTCCATTTGAAAACTTGGTAGGGGAATCACCATCAAAAAAAAAAAGAAGAGAGCCGATAGAATGTGAGAGCATAACCGATAGAACAAAAGATTATGGAATGCATTCGAATAAAAAACACGAGCCAAGCACAAGAACTATATAAATTGTTTCATCAGGATGGAAGTGATGATGATGATGATGATCATCGATATGGAAAGGGGGTAATAAAATTAAAATCAATCAGTTCGGCGAATAAGACGTGTATTTCATTTATCAATTCTTTTGTGCCATCGAATACAGCTGTTTGCTGAGAACGAAAAAGATTCGATGTGAAAAGATGACAGAAAACGATTGATTATTTCTTTTAGAAATGAGCTTTTTTGGTACTTTTTGAATGCGCTTTTCACGCGTTCTTTTAAGCTATGAATGATAGAACGTGATGCTTTCTGAATATGACTATTGCTTATTTTTAGTCGTACTTTATAGGAAACGTCTGATTTGTTGATATTTGCATATATAGCTGCTATTAGATTAACTGCTTGAATTACACATGAAATGCTTTGAAGAGTGTACATTTTCTGAATGCTTTGTTGTGCTATGAATGGGAATACTGTGAAAATTTTTGAGAGGGTGACTACGGTAAGAAACGTGCAAATTGAAGGCAATGATCAGTGGTTGTTGAGATGATGCGCTTGATTGATATCAAACTCTTATCAAACAAGCAATTAAACACATTCCAATGCGCACAACAACGAAAATGAAATGCTGAAATGAATTAAGTACAAAGTTCGGTTCAGTTAAAAATTAACTTGGCTGACCGAATTCCGCTCACGTCGAAAAATCAGTCTTATCTTCTGTTGAGAAGGCTCATTGCGTTTGAATTCGAGAAGGTCGAAGGTGAATGCCGTATATGTTTTAAGAAGTTCGAATATTCCGGCAAAGGGCTATTGTAAACATACAATGGGACCGAAGCCTGGATGGAGTTTTGATATAACATCTATAAAAGACTGAATGGAACACTATAGTACTGGAGCCGGTTGATGTGAAGAAGTGGGGAAGTCTCAGGCTATAGGATGTGACGAGTTCAAATGATTAAGTATAATAGGATCAATATATATCATTATTAACAGCGCATCATCACATAATTGTCTCATGTCGCAAAATAGCCTGCTATGAAGTGAATTTAGAAAATGTTTCATAATTTCATTGCTACTCGCTGATCGCAATTCTGTTGTTTCAGAGAGCAGCACCAAAAATGATGGGCAGCTTTATGGATTATATGAGTGATGATCAGTTTGAGGTATTCACCAAACCGACTCTTCTTCTAAGCAATCTGTATCACATCGAGCATCTCTACATCAAAATAAAAAACATTCAAACAACGATAAATTCCCAGTTGTTTACTAAACAAATATTCGTTCAATCGGATTGGATTAGTCAATATCCAGTTCTCATTCCAACCGTTCGCATAGCAATCTGAGACTCATGATATTCCTTGATGATCATTGACGATAAGAATGGATGGATGATCAAAACGTTTCGATGAATAAGGCAGTTCTGTCAGATAATAGATCAAGATTAATATTGGTGAATTAATTTTGAGACTAATACTGTGAACGGATTTAAAATAATGAAGACTAAAAATAACGCAAATGATCTGAAATCAATTCGCGTACGTTCTTCATTTCTTTGATCACAAATATATGATTCAAACGAATATTTTCGAGGTGGAAAACCGAACAAATAAATAATCAATGAAGTGCCACAAAGGATGAGTTCAGTGCACAGTGGTGATAGCAATAAAGTTGACTGAATTCAGTGTAACAATGCTTGCAAAATGGCCAATAAACCCATCGAAAACAACTCAACTCATGAGGATGGATAAAGCGTAAAAAACGGAAGCAATGTATTGATTAGCAGACTATTTCGTTGTTCGCTACGCACAACTATCATTCTCATCCGCTTCGAACACAAACTCTATTCGAATAGGAAACATTCATTATCAATACTTTATGAAGTACTCAACCGTAAATATTATGCGAGTAAGTAGAAACACAAAATGTGTGTATATCTAATATCTAAATTCCTTATATGTTCATTTGTTCTTGATAAAGTACATTTTGGAAAGCTCATAAAAGAGGATTACTGATGGCATTGATTTTGAGTGTTTCATTTTAAGATCTTCCAAGCAAAGCTCGGTAGGGCTAACAAAACGTTCATGAAAGTGCTGCAATAATATAAACTGTTTTGTATAATTTCAACTGAATGGTTCCTTCAGTTGAATGGTTCATCAGCCGTACTTCAGTTCTCGATAATGCTATTCAATCAATAAATAATAACATTAAACAGAGATTACTGAATGCTATCAAAAGCTCAATAACACATGAACGGCACACAAGTTGCACACGTCATCTCACACAACACCTCAACTGCCAGTCTCATACAAATGGAATCATGTCTAATATCGCTCATTTTTGAGCATGACTGCATTCGCATGCATTCATTTAATAGTGCGTGATGTGCATTCTTATTTCTCAAAATAAAAATGTAAACAAGGCTTTAAAAAACTACAACCTTGATATGAGAATAGTGCCGTTCCAGCAAACTGATGAACGTGATGCATCAGCACAAAGATTCGCTGCAAATTTTTCCCACCATCCAATATACGAAGTAAACTGGAATTGATAATAAGTCACATTCAGCTCATGAATACGTCCAACATTAATCGACGAAAATGAACAACCAATTAAAACAGACAAATATGGTAATATGATGTTGAGTCAGAGCATATCGAACGAAACCAAGCAAGCAATTGTTCATCATCCAACTACATACCTTTCTAATCGTACTAATTAATTTCATTTCTATTGCGGGTGGATGACTGAAGTAGTGATCGGTTACAGTAAGAGGTGCTGATGTTGATTGATTACTCAGCAGAGCAATACATTTCTTAAGAACGACTCTCGCAATTGATGGCGCTTGTATTTGGAAGGCGTACGACACTGAATTGATAATTTCTTTTTCTAGCTGGAAATTATCATATTTAGCATATCACTTCATTATCAGTGGGAATTGATTTTGTAAACTGATTTTGTGGGAAATTGATTATTTAAACTCGTCACGATTTAACTGTCATCAAGCAGATTAATTTTGCCTTTCATTTGTTCAATTTTATGAACTTTTTGTGGATGAAGCTTTTCGGAATGCAGAGGCAGTGATGGATCCATTTGAATCGGACCTTATCGCTGCACAGGACACCGTTCGGTTTGTCATTATAAAATCGCTTTGTCAGTTATGACATCGAATTAAAACGAAGAAAACGCCCGAGTAACTACTCAATCCTTTGAAAGGTTTGCTGGGATTGCGTTCTTCTAAAAAAGAAATATTAAGCAAGCAAAAGTCATGATCAGAAGTGATAAAGGAACGTAACCTGCGAGAATCCATAATCGAAATCAACACTCAGTTTACGCAATATCGTAACAAAACTATTCCAGTGCTGAACACTATCACCAAGACAGTTATACACAGCGTTAATGCACGCATCGTTACAATATCGAATCGGTAAGGATGTTCGCTTGAGATCTGAACAATCTAAATCGCAGTATACTGCCGCTGTAAAGCCAGCTATACAACTTGTATTCATTGTTTCCATTTCCACCACCGACCTGTAAATTCAAATTAATTGCGTTCACATTCCATTGATCGCATCAAGTGTCTTGCTTTTATTTGTTTATGCATAACAGAATATGCAGTTAGGATGTGATCTGATCCTTGGGAATCGATGAAGCACGAAAGAGCAAGTTCCCTTGTGATTCTTATTTTGCTTATGGAACAGAGCATATGCGATAATTCCATTCAGATGTGNGTGATTCGGAATAAGATAATTCAGTCGAAGAGGATGAACGGAAAGCGGAATTGTTCAAAGTGATATTGTCAAATAACAACAAACCGATGCAATTTATCGATAGTTTTCTCGATGATTCGATAATTGAGTATCGCTCTTTGCAATTTAGCAATCAATTCATTTTGTTCACTACCATAGAATATCTTCCATGAAGGTGCATTATTACGAAGACAATTTGCATACGACTGTGTCACCGATTCTGTTGTTGTTGTTGTTGCGCAAATGAATGTTGGTGCTAATAGCTGCATAAAGAAACTTTGTATCGCCTTCTGTATTTCCTTCTCGATCCTTAATGGCGACAGATCCTGAATCACCGTTTATTGCTTCTTCGAAATAATCACCTTTCAATTGTTATCCCACTCACATTCAACCTCACTCATTCTAATTGCAACCATGTGGATCATCAATCCTATATTCTCACTAATAATTTCCTATTAACAACAACAATCATAAGGAAAATATTGAGGAAAAAGGTTTTGTGCAACTTTTAATAAAAGTAAAATGCCAAAGTCGTATTTTCAAGAAAAATAAAAATAATACTAATAATGTGTAATGGTAAGCCTAATAAAAACAGTCCGATTTGAGGTAACGATACACAACTTACAGTTGAAACGAATAGCTGGTTGCGGAGCTTTTGAAAGAGTTCTTCAATCGAATCGCCAACTGATGGTTGCGAGAGAAGTCTTGGGAATTCACTTTGCATTTCTTCGTATAAATTATACTTGCTCCTTTGAACCAGATAATTGATTTCAGCTTAAAAACGTACCA